GGGGGGCACAAACTGCTGCGTAACCTGCTGTGCAACCAACTGGGAGACAGGTCGAGGCTTCCTGTGTGCATGTTAAAAAGAAAGTTGTTTTTATTACTATAATTTAAGAATATATGTTCTTTATGAGAGAATAGCTCAAATTATGAACTAGACATATAATTTCTGCACATAAAAATTTCTCAAATGTAAGGTAATTCAGGGGAGTGATTTAACACATACATTATTGTCTTCCTATCCAACAAAAATAGAACTATAATAACAGTTATAGTCCAAGAGATACAGTCAAACCATTAAAATGTTACTGTTAACATAAATCGACATGAAAATTATTAAAAATGTATATCAAACTGTGCTCATGGGGAAGCACACTTATAAGCATGAAGTTTTTAAATTAAACTTGAAAATTTACACTGAAATAACATTTAAATTTATCGCTCCTCCCTCAGAGAAGGAAATATCTCACCATCTGTGACAATGGCTCTTTGTTCCTTCCTTTAAAATCTTTGATTTATTCATTTAATAAATATGAGTGTCAAAATTTCTCACTCCTTATTGTTCAAATCCTTGAGGTTCCTTATGTAACCAGCCACAGTTTTACTACGCTTTTTTGATCCTGGACATCTGCTCAGTCCTTTGAGATTTGCCTATTTACTCGCTCATTCAAAAAATATTTATTGGGAACCTACTGCAGAATTGCACCGAGATGTCTGAGGTGCTGCCTGGCTTCACCCTCTGGGGCTGGTACAAGCTGTCACTACTGGTCCAGGGTCCAGGACCCCTCCAGCTTTACAGCAGAACTTGGGCAGCTGAAGTCAAGATTAAAGTATTTTAAGTCTGTAAATTCTTAAAATGATAGCAAGAAAAACTGAGGATGCAAAACAAGTGGGAGGGGAAAAGCAAGGGAGAATAAGATAAAAATACACTTTAACAGATGGTCTACAAACAACAGTAACCTATTGCCTGGAAAATCCTGACCCTATTTTGGTCAGTAGAGTTATTAAAAAAAAATTTTTTTTTTTTTTGCTCCTCTCGAGTTAAGACAAAAGAGAAACCAAAGAGAAAATACTGCACAATCTATGATTCAAAGCTGCAAGGAGGAAATCCTTTGAAGGAGGAAATAGGAAACACATTATATAAAACAGATCTCAACTGATAGGATAGCGAATTTTTTTAGAGCCTACAGAGTCTGATTTCCAGGAAAGACATCCAATACACAATTTAAAAAGTAGGACTGACGTAGACAGCAGGGTTAATGATGCAGATTAATAAGAGTTACATAAATGAAAGTGATACTGAAAGCATGGTAATTAATGGCTGAAGTTGTTAAAGAAATAAACTAAAACAAAAAAAGGATTAAAGCAGTGGTTCTCAAACTTAAGGACACCGGGATCACAGGGAAGGCTTGCTTATTTCCTTGCTTAGCCCTGCTCCCAGGGTTCTGCCTCGGCAGGCCTCAGGCTAGTGCCCAGAATCTGCATTTCTACATCACTCCAGCTTATGCTGCTGCCTCCGGGCTAGCCACTACACGTCGCAAAGAAGCCTGAAGAAGAGCAGTATCTTGTTACTACTATGGCATAGAGTTTGAGATGGCGAGCGGGGAGCGGCAGAGAAGGAAAAAAACCAGGGCTGGACAGACAGGAAGGAACCCGATACTGAAAAGCTGAAGGAGTCTGATTTACCCTTAAAGATGGGAGAGCACTGAAGACATTCAAACTTGAATCTTACAAAGACTACTGGCAGCAATCCAGAGGGAAATGGTATTTTAATAAGATCTAGCAAAAATTAAAACGGCTTGAACTAAAGGAAAACAGCAGTGGGGTTATTTAAAGACAGGCTGAAGAAGCAGAATCACAGGCACATGGTGACTAATTAGACGTGCCTTTCTCACTTCTCAACCAACAAATATTCCTTTAGCAAAAACATACAGAAATTCTTGTCTCATGTAACCAACATGCTGTGGATGAGAAACAAACAAAAAAAAAGTCTTAGATGTTGATAAATGCTCTGGAAAAAAATAAAGTAAGGAACACAGGGAGTGTTAAGAAAAGAAGCTGCAATTTTAATTTTACTGTGTGTTTCCTCTTTTTGGACAGAAACTCCACAAGGAAAGGGCTCATATCAGTTTTATATACCACTGAATAACTCGTACCTAGAACAGTCCTGGAAGAATACCAGATACTTAATACTTGTTGAAAAGTGAATGAATGGTAAAATAAGGTTTAAGGAAGAAGGAAGATGTTTTTTAAGAAGAGGAATACTGTGTAATAATCTATAATGGAAAAGAATCTGACAAGGAATAGATACATGTATGTGTGTATATATATCTGCTGGAATACCTGAAACTAACACAACGTTGTAAATCAACAGTAACTCAATCAAAAAGAAAAGAAGAGGAATACTGCCTCCAAGCTTACTCACTGGCCAGGATCAACCACTCATTGCACAGAAGTAAACAAGCAGTGAAAAGCAAGAGAAGCAAGAATTAACTTCTCTTCTAATTTTGCTGGAATATGGAAGGACAAAGACAGCTCGGAGGTGTGGTAAAGTGAGAAAAGATGTGTTTCGACGAGGGCCTAGGAGACAGTGAGTCACCCAAAACTGAGAGTCACTCCAAGGTATACGATGCAATCGAGATGCAGTCGCCATTTGTCTCTCAAGGAATTATGGGGCTCCGAATCTCTTCTTGCCGTAACAAATGAAGGCTTGACAACTTCTTTTATTATGTCTTGTACTGTTGCTCCCTTCATCCCAAAATTTAATGCAAAATGAATTTACAAAAGTGCCAATTAAAGTGAATTATAATAAAATTGCAAATATTAAAATAAATTTACATTCTAGAGTAGAAATCCAGAAGTTTCACCGATCAATAAATTGAGTTACTTAGAAGCCATTATTACTAACGTAAGATACATAATTTATTTATTTTCTCTTTAGTGGTGCCTTTAAGTAAAACTGAATGTTACTCTAGGTTTTTCTGGAGTCATTAATGACCTCAGTACCCAATACTGTTTTTCCCATAATGTGTAAATATCTCAATCATGAAATCTTTGATCATGAAGATCTTCAGGAATTTAACTATTATGTTGTGATTAGTTTTTATAACATTAAAACAGTAATGGTTTTTATAACATTATCAGTCACTCCCCTACCCCCCAGCACTTGTCTCCAAGTTGGAACCCACTGATCGTGTGACACAGCTCCTGAGTACCTCACTCCGGCTTTTATGTGAGAAAAGGACAACCCTAACCCCCTAGCTTCACGCATCCTACAGTACAATTGCTCCCAAAGTCTTCTTCATATTTAACAAGTTTTCTCTCTCTAGAATCCTCTTGGATTCATTATCACTGTTTATATGGCCCATCAATCTGAAAATGAAAGCCTATCAGTAGAGCATGATTTGCTTCATAAAACCATGGGGTTGAGTTAAACAACTTAACATTTTTAAGCAAGTTATGTATCTAGAGTTCTTCCAAGTGGTAAGAATAAATT